AAATTTAAAAGAAAAAAGGGTAAAATTTATGCTCATTTTGATATAAATTTTTTTCAAGATTTTAAATTTTCTTTTTAATAAAAGTCAACATAATTTTTTAATCGGTTTTAAAAAAAATTTAAATTTTTATTTTGAAAAAAGTTTTTTTATACTCACGACATTCCAAAAAAATATTTTTGATTATTTTTATAAAGTAAATTCTTGAATTAGATATTTGATAAAGTTATAATTAAATTAGCCTTAAAATTTTTAAATTTATCTAACTAAAATTGGAATATAATATTTAAATTTTCTTAAATCAACATATTATGTTTAACTATTATTTATATTTTTTAGACTTTTTAAATATTATTTAAATATTAATTTTAAAATATTAATTAAATATTATTTTATATTTAAACATATATATTCTATAAAATCTTGATTTAGACGCCTACTTTGAACTGCTAAGTCTTCTTTTGGGATAGTTTTTTAACTATATATATATATATATCAATCTTAAATATTTTTAAAGAATGGCCATTATCAAATATGATTTGATGAGGAATGTCAAATTGATATACGACACTATCAAATTATCCCAAGAGAATTAGAGAACCTGCTAAGCATTGATCTTTCGCAATGGCATAGCTTCGACACCATAAGAGAAGTACCCAATTGAAGTAATATGAACTGATGACCATCAATTTTCATGCCCCAGCTTTTAAAGGGGCATGAAGCGATTGTTGGGTCATGTTAGATAGTTGATGAAAAACTTCACCATCTATATATCATTAATGATAATAATGTATAATGAAATACAGTCATCAATCATTCATAACCAATTAATAGTACCCATTCTTTTAATTTTTTTGTTGGAGTGTTGAGCACTAAATTTTTCAACATGGACCTCAATCAACATCTTTAGGCTTCATGTTTGTTAAAACAACATAACCACATATAATCAAATAACTGGTGGTACAAAGTACCATTGACTAAACATAAGAGAAAGCCCTTCTCTTAATTCCGCAACAAGGATAATCTCACCCTTAGAAGGAAATTTCAAATTAATATATTCCAAATTTATAAGAGATTAAACCTATTAGTTGGTACTAGTATAAAGATTGATTCTTCTTTAGTCAAAAAAAAAAAAAAATGCTAGGGCTCTCGCCTTCGCATTCCTGGCGGCCTACCGGCTGGGATGTTCACTCATTGGTGCTCCAGGGAAGTTATCTTCCTTTTTTTTATTTTCAAGCGGTGTTATTTTTGTTTGTTTTGATTTTGTTTCTATGCTTCCGTTCTTCCTCTCCGAATGGGGGGGAGCGGTTGTGCGATCCTTGGTTTTTAGAGGGATCATTCAAATTTAGGTCTTTTCTTGAGGCTCTTGCTGGTTCATCCTCTGATGGTCACTTTTATGATCTAAAACCTTCATCCTTTTGCATTTTACCTTCGCTGTGGATTTAGGAGGATGAAATTAAGGCACTTGTGTTGCCTTCTCAATTTTCTTTAATTAGTTTTTTTTTTCATTCTAAGAGGCCTTCTCTGGACTCTATCCATAGGTGTTTCTTCTCCCTGAAGCTTTCGAGTGAGATATCTATTACTTTTCTTGATCAGACGCATGTCTTGATCAAGTTGAGTAACAACCTTGATTATTGTAGAATTATTTGTCATCGATCTTACTTAGTTCAAAATTGTTATATGAAGTTGACAAAGTGGTCTCCTCTGGTTGATGTTAGTATTGAGTCGTCTGTGATTCCTATCTGGGTCTCCTTCTTCAATCTCCATCCTTACTTTATCTCCTCCAGTATCCTTTTTGGCTTGGGATCCATTTTTGGTAGACCGCTTAAGGTTGATTCGGCTACTTTCGTGGATTCCAGACCTTCTGTTGCTCGTGTGCTTGTTGAGCTTGATATCATGAAATCGTATCGGGATAAAGTTTGGTTGGGTCCTGAGAACCTAGGTTATGTTTAGCAAGTATCTATGGAAACCTTTCCTGCTTTTTGTGGTTCGTGTAAATGTATAGGGCATTTGAGTGGTGATTGCCGTCCTCCTCAAGCTGCCCAGACAAATGTTGTTTATGTTCATCCTTTCAAGTTAAATCTGAATGTTTGCGGTGAGGGTGATAAGGTGGATAATTCGGTTTCTTGTGATGCTAGGGACAGATCTCCATTTTCGTGTCCCAAAATTGGGAATGTTTTGGTCTGTGATAATAATGTTAGTAATGTTGTTGATGTAGTAATTAATGTTGTTCTAATTTGTCTAAGGATTCAATTTTAAACTTTACTGTTGTTGAGGCTCCTAAGCCTTATTTTGCGTCAAGTGGTTTGTCTGATGTTTCTGTCACTAATGCTAATGCTCTGGTTGCCCGAGATGTCCAGTCTCCTATTTTGGTTGGAATTTTGACTCCCGTGGGCTGTAATATTTGAGTGTTCTCAACTCGGTTAGTGGTGATGTCGTCCCCGTTGTTAACTGTAACTTGAACTTGAGATATTCTCCTTCTAATGGGAAGGATGAGGAGATATTTAGAGATGATTCTTCTGAGGAATTGGCTTTGATTGTTGAGCCTGAGTGTAATCCTTTGATTTTTTGTGATGTGGCACTTAATGTTTCTTCTCCTCCTGTGTAGTTGGATGAATATCTTGTTGAGGTCCCAGTTAATTTAATCTCATTTAATGCTTTGGTTGGCCATATGGGTGGCAGATCGGGGGATAGTGTTAGATTGCAAACTGATTGGCGCCTTGAAATTTCCTCTCCCTCTTCTTCTGCGGCTGAAGAAGAGGTTGTTTTACCTCAGAAAGGGCTTTTACGAGATGATCATTTTTGGGTGGGTAAACGTTCAAAGCAGAAATCTAAAATATAGTTCTTTTTTGGTGTGCTTGGTGGCTGCTTTGTTGGTAGTTTTGTGTCTCCTCCTACTTAGTTTCATGTTGCCTTTTCTGGTTATGTCTTTTGTTGGCCTTGCTGATACTGCTAGCTTTTTTTGGGCGATTATGTGGCTCAGACTCTTCACTCTGGATCCGTGGCTAGTTGGCAACCTTTAGTGCTGGTTCTTATTAGCAGTGATGGCGATTGGTTGGCTTTTAGTGAATTTTTGCACTTTCACTCCTCTGGATTATTCGTGCTTGGATTTGGAGTGGTTGGTAGTTTGTGCCAATACTATGTCTGGTGGCCTTTGTGCCTAATTTTCTCCTCGTTTGAGTTTCCCTCTATAATATTCTATTGTATGTGGTTTCTTCTTCCGGACTTTCTGCTATTTTGGCCTTTGATGTAACCCTTTTGTCCAATTGGAATAAGATTTTTATTTTTATTTAAAAAAAAATATTTTTCTTTAGGCCAAGATAATTCCTTTGCAAGCTTTTCTGGGACATCAGTTACAAAATTTCTTCCATTGTGTATCCTGTATATAATCTAAAGGAATTTTCTTAAGGAGTTTCATTGTGTATTAAACTATAAAGGAGTTTAGACTTGAAGATTTTATAATGTACAGCAACCTGGTTAACAATAAGAATTGAATCTTGAAAGATCTTAATATCTTAAAATTCCATGAGAATCATTAATTTTAAACTAGTTATAAAAGCCTCATGCTTAGCTTTATTATTTGTAAAGTTCTAATAAATGATAATAATAACATGATAATCCTTTTTTAGGAGTTATGAATATCAAATTCATCTCAAGATTCGAACATCGAAGTTCCAGAAGTCCGAAAATAAAATTAAAATTAGTTTTTCACTGGATAGCATCATGCTATCCTTTGATCCCTTAAGAGCACATACAACATGGAAGTATAACTCCTAAGTAGATCTTTCATACTCCAAACTAGGGGTGTCAATATTTGACACGACACGAAAACCCGACCCGGACCCGACCCAGAAAATCCGGGTTGAACCCGACCCGATTTCAAAACGGGTCGGGTTCGGGTTCCAGAAATTGACCCGTTTAAAAAATGGGTCGGGTTCGGGTTGACCCGACGGGGTATTTGG